TAAAAGCAAGCTTTTCTTTGTAAAAACTTCAATTGAATTTTAATAAAGTTAAAGGCATGGCCTTATCATTAATATTTAAAAAAAAAAAACCAAAATCTGTACTATCTTGAGTCTAAATTATTTTTTTTATATGTCTTTATTACAGTTTTGACTATAATAGTTTCATTGTATTTATCTAAGTTAACTATTTTTATTAGAGTAATAATTAGTTTATTTTTATATTTATTTCAAAATAAAAAACAAATCAAGAATACTTTTTTATCTTTTCTTATACTTTCATCAGTCATTGTATTATATGAATAAGAAGATAAATATGCTATTTCTGATTAATTTTAATAAAGAAATATTCAAGTCATTTCTTTATTGTATCAAAAAAAAGTTCTTGTAATAAGTTAATAATCTGGTGTTTTTCCAGTAATAAAAGTTATCATTGTCTTGGTATATTTGACAGTTGTTAAAAGAAAAATTATACTAATGTTATTTATATTAATGGCAGGCTTAATAAATTTAAAAATATATTCATTATTATTTAATTTTATTATTTTTTTGGCACTATTTAAAATTGATTATTTGTAATTGTTTTTAAGAAATAGATTAAATCTGAGAAATAGATTGAATCTGAAAAATATAATTTTTGCTTTATTTTTTTTAATTGTATAATTTTTATATAAAAAGATCTAAGTTTATTATCTGATTTATTTAATGATTTTGTTAATTTTTTGTTTTTATTTTCTAACACTTTTATTTTTTTACAAGTAGATGCAAATAAAAAATGTTTAAAAAGATCACTAGTTACAAATTTATTAGCTTTATTTTATAAATATAATAATAATATTTTACTCTTTATTTTATCTTTAAAATATATTATTATATTTATTAAATACTCAATTTTTAAATTTGATTTGATAAATTTCTTATTTTATTAATTAATATATTAAGTTTTTTTCAATAATACTTTGTTGTTTTGGTATTATTGAATTATCATAGCTTTGTATTTTTATTAATTCTTCATTATTCAAGAAATCAAAATTTTTATAAATATTAATATTTGAAAGATTTAATAAATTAATATAATTTTGAACCTTTATTAATTCTTCTTTGTCTAAGAAATTAATAATCTCATAAATATTAATATTCAATAGATTTATTGAATTAATGTGATTTTGAACTTTTATTAATTCCTTATGATTCAAAGAATTAATAACTTCATAGATATTAGTACATTATTTTTAGATTTACAGTTTTTAGCAATCTTTAGTAAATGTTTTTTTTTATTTATAGAATGAGTTATTTAATATAATTGAATTAAATTTGTATTCAAATATTATATTTTAAATAAAAAAATATTTGTTTTATAATTAATATGAATAATTCTATATATAATAATCTTATTAGAATTTTTTGTATTGATTTGATATCATAGTTTAAAATTTTAAGAGTTATTACAATAAAAGTAATATTTGTATTATGCTTTTGTTTGTATTAAAATTAAACCTATAAATATTAAAATTTTTAAGATTTAAGTAACTAATTTTATTCATATTAACTGGTACTAATATGCTTATTGTTAAATTACAATACAGAACTCAAATTTTTATCAATTTAGGATTAATATAAGTTATCATAAAATTTTAAATAAAACTTGTAATAAAAGAATTTAATTTAATATATATAGGTTTACAATTAATGATTAATTATTAAATAATAACATAATTTTAAAATTGTTTTTTTATTAGCAAAATACAAAGTTTGTATACTAAATATGATTAAATTAAAAAATTTATCTTTAAACTAAGACTCAGTACATTTATAAATATATATAATCTTGTTTAATAATATATATACTCTAATGTACAAGTTTGAAATAGCATAATAATTATATATATGAAATTCACATATTTAAAACATTATAATTTGTGCTCTAGTAAAACAAATTCAATTTATAACTTGCAAATAGTAGATAAATTTTGTAATTTTAAAACTATATTGCCATATTTAATCTAATTATATAGATTTTAATGCCTATAGTCTAAACTTATAAACTATAAATTTGTTACTATTAAAATTTAATAATTTAGAATTCTGATTAAATTAATAAAATAATTTAAAAAATGTCTTAATATAAGTTTAAAATTATACTATATATTTGTTATTTACAAGTTACAGAAAATGTATTTGCTTTACTAGAATGTGAGTTATAATATTTTAGAAATGTATAAATTTTATAATAAAATTACTATAATAAATTTTTAAATAGACTAATAAACAAAATTTTAACATTTTAATATTTTATTATTAAAATTTAATTATTTAGAATTTTTACTAAATTAATAAAATAAATTTAAAAATGTCACATAGTTTTAAAATTATACTATTAATCTACTATTTGCAAGTTACAAAATTAAATTTTTTTGATTAAAGTAGAAGTTATAAAATTTTAAGTGTTCAAATTTTATAATAAAATTATTATACTAAATTTTGTTAATAAATTAATTGACAAAATCTTAAAAATCTTACTTAGTACACCAATCATATTGTGTTGCACTATGATAGCTGATCATTTGGTATGAAATACCTTAACTAACAAAATGATCTAATACTATAAAATAATTTTTTTATATATTACATACTGAATAGAGGATTGGTTATATAACATCATTATTTCTGTTAATATAAAAAGTAAATTCAAACTCAATAATCTACTAATTAGGCTGCAATCACAATTCTTTATTTATTATTACTTATTATATAAGAAAACTAAAAGAAATAATTATATATAATAAATAATAATATATTACTAGACTTCATATCTTTAATTTACAAATATAACTATACAAATTAGTCATATACAAAGTTTAAATGCAGTATATTTAGTTTAATATAATATAAATTTTTATAATAAAATTACCTGAAAATTTATATAATACTAAACTAATTTTGGTAATTATACTTGAAACTGTTTTTACTTTCATAGAAGTCATTTTTGTACTAGGAATATTTATTTAAGGCATTGTTATTAAGAAAAAATTTATTTAATATAATATTGCATACTATATAAATTAAATCAAATGTAATATATATCAAAAAACCTTATTTATAATTAATTGATTATTAATCAATTTTATTAATAAGTTCTCTATAGATTTATCTTTACTATTAATAATTGTAATAATCACATGCCTAGTACAATAATAGTAAATTCACATCTTAACATAAAATAGCATTATTAGTTATTTTTTAGTAAATTGTAGATTAATAAGTTGCTATCATACTAAAAAATAATACTATTTTAGATGCAATGTAATGAATATTAAAATTTTAGTAATATAATTGAATTATATAATCACTCTGAATAATATGATAAAAATATATTACACAGTGCTACTATATCAAAATATTAATAAGTAACTATACAATTAACTAATCAAATACTAATAAAATATTTAATTTAATTATATTTTTAAAAACAATTTTATAATGGTTTCATAAACAACTACAAAACAAACTATATACTTTAATTAAAAGTATTGACTTTCAAATAATTATTTTCATTTAATAAAAAACTTTTATATTAATTTTTTTATTGTAAAAAAAAAAACTTTATTATTTTTATTTAATAAAAAAAACCTTTTTATTATATAATATATTTATTATAAAAAAAACTTAATTATATAATATATTTAATTATAAAAAAAACTTTTTTATTTAATAATATATTTTATTATAAAAACTATAAACTTTTAGTTATAAATAATTTTCAAAAATAAATCTTGTTTTATCTAATTTTTATTTAAATTTTCATCTGATATTCATTCAAATTTTGATCAAATTTTGATCAATTTTCTTTAATTAACACCAAATAATTGACAAACAAATATAAATCATCTATCTAGTATAAAAGAAATAGGTAATTATTTGGGTAACTTAGATACCTCAGAATATAGCATGTCAATAACCACTAGTGATAGCATAACCTAAAAACCTAGAAGTAATATCTAAGGGTTTTTTGTAAAAAAAAGGTTCAATTAACTTAATGAGCTTAATATTAATACTCATTTGTTAACTGAAAAATATAAAGTGTAATAACTAATAATGTTTAAAAAGAGGTATAAGTAGAAGGTATAAAGAAAGAAAAAAGAAAAAGCAGTTCTTATATATTTTTTTTTTTGCCAACATGTTCATTGTTTTGAAATTTTCAAAACATGTTTAATTTTGTAGTCAATTTCGTGTTTTGCATTGATAGAAATCTGTTATCAAGCAAAATCAGTGACATCATACATGGATGTTATTTTTTTTGAAAACTTCGCATTACACATGATTTGCAAAAACAAGAATCATGTATAATGCATTTTTAAAAAAATCGAGTGTAACTGAAGTTTTTCGAAAAATCGCATATATTTCAAAATTTTTAAAATTACCTTTTATGCTATAATAAAAATGTTCCTCGCAGAATTTTACTACCTCAGAACATATTGCCATGCAGGAACAATTTAATTGTTAAACATGAATGCTTTGATACAACTAGTATATAAATATCTATATGATCTAATATATTAATTATTTGTGAAATCATTGGATTATCTTATTGGAAAAATGGCTTTTAGCAATCAGTACATTCCTGATATGTATATACCAAAAACTAATACGAATTAAATGAATACAAAAATTTATTTAAAAAACAAAAAGTTTTTTTTATTAAAAAATTGCTATATTGTATATGTAACTATATGTAATTATACAAGTAATCTTTAAAGCATAAAGATTAACTTTCCTCATACTGATATCTAACTAAATTTACACTACTTATTATCAATAAATAAATTATAATCACTCGTGTCTATAAACTAAGCTATATATTTCCAAAAAAAGTCCTTTAATAAAAATTCTATGCCATGTCCAAACTTTATTTAAATAATTCCTATAGAAAGTACTACTTCATATCCAATCATCATCTTGTTTTTGATTATGATAATGCTTACGAAATTCATCAATCCAAAATACTAATAATGTTATAACTATAAGTTCATAAATATCATCAAGTTCTAATGCTTCGATTTGATAACAGCTTGAAAAAATGCCCAACAAGTGAAAATGCTACTGCTAAATTAAACATTGAATTTGAAAATATTCATAATTTAAAAACAATTTAAAAGCATTAAACATATTAAAAAATATAAAGCATATAAATGTCTAGATAAAATTAATTAACATATTAATAAATGAAATGCAAATAAAACCTCAATACAATAAATACAAAATAAAACTTAAATATCTTACAATCATTGTGTCTCTTGCTGTAATGATACTGTCTCGCATTTCAGTAATATATATAAATAAGGTACTAGCAATGATAATCGCAGAACAAAAAGTACGTGCATGATCAGTGCTAGTGTAAGTATTGGTGCGTTTTTCTTTCATGAAGGTTGCTTTTTACATTTTTATATACTGGTTTGATGCTGAAAGATTGTGGGAGAGGTCCATTCATTAATATGTCTTAATTATATATAGTATAGTTTTTTCTGTGTAAAAAATTTCACATGATTAATTTATGACATAATCAAATAATTAAATAAAACTAATTTTAAATAAACAATTTTTAATATCTTCTTTTACAGCATGCAATATAGTCACGAACTCATAATTGACTAAAATAATATCAGCTGCATCTTGGGAGACATCAGATCTACTTTTACCCATAGATATGCCAATATCAGTAATTTTCAATGCTAGTGCATCATTTACTTTAAGAGAAATAACATAACATAAATATATAAGATATAAATCAAAAATAATTAAGTATAAATATTTATAAACATTCTAAATATTAAAAGAATAGCCTACCATCATCCTCTGTTATTGCTACAATTGAACTATTTGATTGAAAGGCTTGTATTATAGCTATTTTATTTTTTGGTGCTGTTCTTGCAAACACAGTTACTGAGCCAATAACTGACTTTAAATATTTACCTGAAATAGCTCCGATATCTGCACCAGTTAAACAATTAGAATAATTTTCTGGATTTACTAGTATACCAAACTTTCGTGCAATTGAATGTGCCATTTGACCTAATATAAAACAATGCTATGTAAATAAAAAAAAAATCAAAGTTAGAAAAGAGAACATTTAAAAAATGGTTAATTGCCAGAATTTTCTGTTATTATGACTACCAATTAACTGCTTTATAGCCTTTTTAACTCCTATATACACATTACTTAAAAATCATATATATATAAATTATAAATAATATATAATAATAATATATAATGATAAAATATAATAATAATATTCTTTTTAATAATAAATATAGGTTGTATAACTATATAACTAATAATAACTTGAATAATTAATTCAGCATATATACAAGTTACGGCACATCATAATTTAAAGCAAAAAGTTAATAACTAGTTATAACATATAGATGGATTTTGTAATTATAAAGTTTGATCCAATCATTTATAAGGTTGCAAAATTGCTGGTATTATAGAAAAAATTATGTGAAATTTGAAGATTACTGATTTCTGATTTTTTCAACATTTTTTTTGACTTTGACTAGACAAGATTTGTGCATTTATCATTTGCAAAAATTTGGTTGAATATTTTAATGTGCTATTTCTGCAAATATATTACAAAATGATGAATATTCAACTTTTATTTCTGTAAAAAATAAAATTTTTACAAATAATAAATAGGAGTGAGTCAATAAAAATCAAGCAAATCATTTTTATTGTAATTTTTTTGAAATTTTAAACAATAACTCAACAAAAACTTAATCAAACTTATCAATTTTTTTAAAAATGAGTTCTACAAACTTGTAGCATTTATTTTAAAAAGTTTTTATTAAATTTGATAAAATTTTGGTTAAACTATTTTTGTTTAAAGCTTCAAAACAATTTACTTAGAAAAAATTTGCTTGATTTCTATTAACTCAACTCCAAATGCACAAATTTTGTCTAATCTAAAAGTCAAAAATTGAATTGTATGAATTTTATGATTTGTTGGTTGTTTTCAGAGTTATTAATTGTTTATGAAACAGTCATGAAATTGTTTATGAAAATATGATTAAATTTTAAATATTTTATTAGTATTTGTTTGGTTAATTGTATAGTTACTTATTAATATTTTGATATAGTGATGCTGCGTGGTATCACTTAATTTTTAATAGTCATGTTATCCTATTAAAAATTTTCGTTACATTACACCACATTCAATCAGAATCAGTAGATTTTTGTAGCATCTAAAATAGCACTAATTTCTAGCATGATAGCAACTTATTAATCCACAATTTACTAAAAAATAGCTAGTAATGCTATTTTATGCTAAGATGTGAATTTTGCTATTATCACACTAGGCATATGATTATTACAATTATCAATAGTGAAGATAAATCTATAGAGAACTTATTAATAAAATTGATTAATAATCAATTGATTATAGATAGAGTTTTTTGATATGTATTACATTTGATCTAATTTATATATATAGTATGTAATATTATATTAAATAAATTTTTTCTTAATGACAACACTTTAAATAGTACAAAAATGACTTTTATGAAAGTAAAGAAAAACTTTATTGTACTTCTTGCAAATGTAATCTAGATTCAAATTTAAGCAATAATCAACAAAATGTAACTATATTTCAAACTCAAGCAGCTGATAAACAAGAACTCCTCAAGTATAACCACCAAAATCAGTTCAGTATTATATAAATTTTCAGGTGATTTTATTATGAAAATTTTTATTATATTAAACTATATGTACTGCATTTAAAATCTGTACATAACTGATTTGGGTAGTTATGCTTGTAGGTTAGAAATAGGGAGTTTAGTAATATATTATTACTTATTATTTACAATTACATCTTTTAGTTTCCTTGTATAATAAGTAATAATAAATAATAATTGTGATCGCAGCCTGATCAGTGGATCATTGAGTTTAAATTTACTTTTTATATTAACGGAAACATCGATGTTACATAACTAATTCTCTATCTGGTATACAACATATAAAAAAATTATTTTACAGTACCAGATCATTCTGTTGGTACTGGTGCCATTTACTTCACTGCAGCTCCTTTGACCAACATTACATAGGGTTTGAAATAACATTTTATTATTACTGGTATATATTTTTAGTAAACTGTTGCCTGGTATGATGTCACTTAAATGAACTGTCAGGGAACGATCTAGGATCAATTATGGAACATTGACATTTCCTGTTTTTCAGATTACCGTATAGCACTGACTAAAGTATCCTCCCTATGTATAATATCCCTTACCATTTATAGAAAAGAACCTACTAAAATACCTGAATATTGTCATTTATTTGATTCTATACCTTATTTGTATTATAATAATACGTATATTTTATTTGCTATTGTAAAAAATACAAAGAACTCTTTCTGACAATCACCTGGACCAAGTTGGCACCAAAAGTAAATTGAAGACTCTGGCTCCAAAGTGGATAATATTCTTAGTTTTATATTAAGTAAACTTGCTGTTGACAAAGCTCAAGTACATGATATACTGAGGAGTAGGCAAAACTTGAGTGATTCTTGCCTTGGGTTAAGCTTTTTGTCTGGTGGACTCTCTCGCATATTTGGCATCCAAACTGGAAGGATATTCTGGAAGCAAGTAGAGACAAAATCAGTTCTCTGGTTAAGAATATTAGAAGCAGAAGAAAAAGAAGAACAACTAAAAAAACTCTCCTTGACTTGGACCCTTGCAACAATGATATACCTCCTCTTTGTCTTTTTTTTGTTTTCTTTTTTCGAAAAGTGGAGATTTGGCTCATCCCCATCAAAAGATCGACATTGTGCATTACTTCCTTTTTTAGTTATATGCTTGTTTGGATATGGCAAATAAGGAACACAACAAACACGTAAGTTGGCCAATCATGTAGAGCAGATTGGAAAAGGATTTAATTCAGAAAAACCAAAAAAATATTGAGATATGCATATATTCCAAGGCCATATGCATAATATTTTTTAAAAAAAAAATGGATACTGGGGTTTATGAAGAATTGGACCGCTTAAGTGCACTCCAAACTATAGCACAGTACTCCATCTACTTGAAGATTCTCCTATATGGAAAGTGCCTGGCTTAAACTCCATCCTACAAATGAATACAGTTTTCATTCTGGTTAAGAGTACCTAGTTTTTAGAGAATAGCCATAGCTCATAAAAATATGAAAACATTGTAGTGAGCAGCAATTGTAGAATAGAGTTTTATCCTGTTAGCAGGTTTCCTTCTTTATTCTCTTTATAGATTAGTTTCGTTTTCTTTTTGTTAGTTTTATTTTACTCCCTATTTTCGTTTCTCCCTTCCTCAATTTTAAAATCATTTTCTTTTTTTTTTGTTTTTCTCTTCCCTATGAGAAGATGTCTCCAGATTGGCAGTATCCTATTGTAGAGCGGGAGTCAGATAAGTCGTAATTTCTAGTCCTAACTGGATTAGTGCGGCAGGTTGCATTTAGATATCGTTTGGGTGGCCAGATGATGGTAGACTTATAAGTTAAATGATATTCTGTATTTACAAATGTAACTACAAATGGTTTAATAAAGTACTACCATGACTGTTTAAGGGAAAAAAAAAAAATTATAGTACTAAACAGTAAAACACATTAATAAAAATTTAAAATACTTTTTTTTAGTCTTACCACATTTAGTTTGTTAATTATAATAATAAATATACTATAAAAAAATTAAGTACATCACATATTGTTAAATGAAATGACCTACTGTTATAGGACAGTCAGTCAAATTATTAATAAATTAACTGTTATTTTCTAACTAAAAAGTCCAGTTTTAGTAACTCAAACTTAAATATAGACATTTATTAGTAAAATTGACTCATCATGTTGAGTTAACTCACTACAACTGTGTCTAAATATCAAATAAATTGACACACCTTGATGTCAAATGATTGACATACTTTTGAATAAAAAAATATAAAAAGGATTGATTTTCACTTGAGTCAAATTAGATTCTAATCTCATACCTGAGAACAAAGACTTTACAAGCAGTTCTCATAAAAATTATATTTCTTGTCTAAAGAATAGTATAATTTTGTTGATAATTTACACAAAATTTTACTAAGTTAGGTAAAGTTATGGTCTTAATTAAAGTTGTTTAACGTCATCAGAAGTACTATAATCTATATTTTTATAATTATTAGTTTAAAACTCATTAAATTATAAAGATTTTTCTCTTAAAAAATATATATAAATTTTTTTAAAAAAATTGTCAATCGTAATCAGCTGCAGATTAATTTCCTTATTCTAAATCTACTTTATGCTTCTAAGTAATATTGTTGAGCATATTTCTATCTATTAGTATGTTAAATTTTAGATTTTTAGAATTAATATTTAGCAAGATGTTAATGTTTTTCTATTTTATTTCATAGATAAATTTGTCTTTGATGAAAACAATGATCGATTGAGATCATCATTTTTTATTTTGCTTCTAAATTATCTACTGTTTTTTTTTTTGGTGTTAAGGTGAGGCCTTGCTCATATCTTTATTAGTAATTTTAGTTGTACATATTAATATACT